TTACTAGTAAGTCTACCGTCCTGGAGAAACCAATAGCCCAGTTAGGACCACTACAATCCATTCTCGCGAATTTTGGTTCGAAGTTGGTGCTTTTCTAATGGGCACCCTCCCATCCGAAATAAAGACCACTTAAGATATCCTAAAGGACGCTTTTTCTCCACAAGAAGATAACTATGTGTAAGTTGTGTTTCGGACTCACCTGCATTACGCCATCCATTAAGCACATGAGTAATCGCATTACATATATGTTTGCGCAACGTGGTTGAGGGTATCAAACACTATTTCGGTCTAAATTAACCCGAAATGCTGTGGTAATTACTGAAAAGATTATCATTTCAAAGAACCGTGCTGTCCATGAAAGTGACGCGGTGGAATTCTCCACTGTTTCTGATAAAGCAGATTTACCAAAGCTTGTTTTGGAAGTCTAATTGAACGCGAAATCCTGTTAATCTACATACCAGCCAGCAATTAAGACCAACACAAGAATCACAGAGAGATTCGACTGTCAGCCACACAACAAATTCGTTCCACTCATTGTGGAATTTCCATATTTAGTCCAGTACTCAAACGCTTCAGCCTGCAGTTGCCACACAGTTGAAACTGAAATGTACCTGCTTATACGCGTTTATCCTATGACATAATGCACGTGCATCGCTCATTCTCCCTATTACAGCTACACCCAGCCCAACCCATTTACTGTTTCCTTACCATGTTGTTTTACCTTTGTACACTTTTGGTTTCGGTTTCGGTCGTCAATTACACGTGTTCCTGCACCGCGGTTGTTCTGCCTTCCTATCTGTGCATCGGGCTTGTCATGTGTCCGCGTGTTGTTGTTTCGGAGTTAACCTTGTATGTCTGTTGCCTTGCAGCGTACTACGTCGACTTATTCGCGCTTCCCAGTCCTCCAAATGGCAGTGTAAAGGAGTATTTTTTATGCAGCATGGAATAGCAGAGTCAGGTTCGTTAAAAGTATCTTCCATGGCAATGCCAGCCGTTACCTCCAATAGAGTCCTTCTCGAATATACAGCCACTCAAAACCATTCCAAGGAAGGCACGGATCAATGTGCGGTCTCTGAGAAAGCTCATTCCATCTAGAAACAAATAAGTCCGCTCTAACATGCAGCACCGGTCTTCTCAACTGCTGTTTGTGTCAGTGACAATGATGTGGTGATGCTAGTTCTCCAGAATGGACATAAATTCGTACTTCGCTGATTCCACACATTACTGAGGATGTATTCTTACTTTGCAGTGATACAAGAATTCAGCTTAATGATTTCACGACAAAGTTTTGTTTAACGCTTCTAGATGCCGGGACACATTTTAGAAACCCTCCACTTGACCGACCACAAGCCCCTGCGTATTAGTTCAGATTATCTGAAACAGGAATCCATATGTTATTCATCTCTTTGCCCCCTATTCTATCCACATTGAGATGTCTGGCGATTTCAGCTCCCTCTGTCACAAGCCACTGCGGTGTTCAAGCGCAGTGTATGTCTTAAAAATCCTACACTTTCCAGATTTATTCTATATCCTCCGCCTAGCATATATATAATCCTCTGATGTTTATTTGCAGTTCTTGCAATTCGACAGCTCTTTTCTTGAGCTCACTAGTGCTCCTGTGCAGTTCTCTGATTACCTATGTAGACCTGAGTCGTTGCATTTGTGGTCTCTGGTCCTTTCAACCGGCGAACGATCAATACCTAGCGTAAAGTACTTTTGATGGAATGCTCTGCAGAACTGTCTCTCTAGAGTTAGGCAGAAAAATTTCAAAGTCATGACTCAGACCTCAGGTGACCTTCAAGCACAGAACCTTAAACTAGAATATTGCCTAATGAGGCCGCATAATCATCATCAGTATCATCACCTACCAGAGAGTCGTTATAATTATTCACTGTAGAGAAGGTCTACAGCAGAGTGAGAATACTTATACCTAGATTATGAACATGTATATACTTGGTGAATTCCTACGTGGTGGTTTGTTAGGTGATAGAACTTTTTTAACTTCTACCTTGGTGACCGTTTTCATAGACAATAGTGGCGGTTCTAATAGGGTGACAGAATTCATCTTAACGCGCCAGTGCATTATTTGATTATTAGCACGATTTGAAGTGCGTATTTATACATATGGTCGACACAGCCGATACCCCCTTTAAGACAGATGCATTAACTATGACAGTCGCTTGCGGCGCGTGGTCCTTGTTGGTGGTGCCGGTTCTCACGGTTGTATCACCATATTCAGAGTGACTGGTGTCTTGCAGTAGGCGTCTGCTTACTGGCCCGCTGATGGGGTCTGCGTCAGCCTTACTGGTTAGCACTTAAAATCACAATCAGTTCCATGCAAATCAGTCAACCGGCTGGAGAGTAGGCACCGGAGGTTTTAAGCTTAGTTCCCCTGAAAACGAACAGTCATAGCAAACTTTCAGTGAAGTCCGCGAAACAGAAGTTTTTCCGTAGAATTTTTCTTGGTAGCTGTCATCCAGTTCGTTGTGTGTTGTGGTGTCAGTTGATACATCCACTTTTGCGCACACTAAATATAACCTGGTAGTCTAGCGCGCTGTTCAGACGCTCATTATGATCACCGTCCACAGATTCCTTTGGAAAGTACAGTCCTATCGTGCCATGTTACTTCCACGGCGGATGCACTTTCTTTCGAAGCCACTTCTTCATTGCGCACGAGTTGGTTCACGCTGTCCGGTAGGCTATTCAAATCCACCTCGTCTCACACATAAACCACCGAATCATCCGTGTCTTATCTTGCAATATTTATCATGAAATGGGGATTGAATGTAAGAGGCGACCTCAGTGCTAGCTATCCCTCTTACAAACAGAGTTTACATAAGGAATGATCAAACAAATTCCGATGTGATTAACAGGACTTTATCAAACCACCACAAACGTTTAAGGTGGCAGGAAGTCAACAGTGAAAGCAAATGAGAATCGTCTGTATGGAAATGGTAGTTTCAGCTTATTTTTGAGAAAGTTTTAACTTCTTTGAACTCTGTTTAGTGCCCATTTTCGCATCAGCGAGACGATCCTAACTCCGATGGGGGTTTACTGGTACATAGGTGGAGACTTCAGTAAGTGAGGAGTTTCATGTTGCTCAGTAGGATAGCACGAATTTAGTGAGGCCTTATAGTCCGTTTTCCACTTTTCGGAACTATCATGGGCTGAATCATTAGTAGTAACTACGAACGATCCTACATCCTGTAGTTTGTTTTCTCTCTCTCAATCTGGGAGTCATCTATGTCCCTGTGTGAATAAACCATGTTTAAGTACAGTGATTAGGACCAATAGAAAACAAACACGGAACCTAACCACAGTGACCTATTATAGAGTAGACGTTTGGCTGACCACCGATCTCCTCAGTTTTATGTAACAACGGAATATTTATTGAACCAAGTGACTAATTTTTGAGGCAGTATGTCGTTTGACCTATAGTCACTCCTGTTGGGTAGGTGCGATGGATGCCACTTGGAGCGGAAGGGCTCATATTTTCACTAAATTTTTTGGATGAAGCAAGAGAAGTGCAGCTGTTTCCGAATTCCTAGTCATTCTGTCGTTTTTTGTCATTCGTTGCTTTACCCTTCCTCGAACTGTCTGCTTCATCATCCCTGGTACACCAAATTCGGTATTCTGGTCCGTTTTCAAAGCTGAAAGTAACCGAATAGTGCGAAAATTGTTTGTCATCACATAGCTGTGTACGTTAACTTTCCGCACAAACGGCGTTCCTTGCTGAACAGGACTAGTTTGCTTTGTGTCGACATCGTGGTATAATTGTATGTTTGGATTACTTCCATACTGGACTTGTATTTATAAATAAAGGAACAGGCCCACTAACTAGGGTAAAACTGAAGGCTTAACTGATGATGCGGTATGATTGGGAAGGATTTTCCTGGGAAAAACTTTCATGCAACGTATTGTGTACCTGGAGCACCAAAATGCCAAAGCAATTCGAGGATTTGTCCTTCACGTTTTCAAAACATACGCAACTAATTGGTGTAGCGTTATCAATCTACTGTAAACATCGTTTCCATATCTCCAAAACCATATCAGTTTTCCTAATAGGTAAACTTAACTGCGGATAATTAATGAAGGAAGTCCGTCACAAAAGTGAACAACAGGACTGCGGTCCTTCTTGTTTGTCCCTTCTTTCTGTGGGACACCGGGGACGTTGCAAAAAAGGAGTCTAACCAGTTAAATCCTGTTTGAACTCTGTGACCTTCGGGAATTTTTAATCTTTACGGCATCATTATTCCTGCAGTCAAACACGGAATAAGTTTTTTGTAAGGTCTACTCAGTCACAGCGTTTACTCAAAAGAAATATTTGAGCTACTGACTGGTGTCATAGTAGTCACGAGTTTGACCTCATCTGAACAGCCAGCTAGCCTTCAACCGCGATTGAATAGCGGTGAGGCAAGTAAGATTAGTATCACTTGAACTGTGCCTAAGCCGTTTAAATATGCACACTTGAAAAGGAAGGATAAGACTAGTTTGGCGGGGAGCCTAGCTGAACAACGAACATAGTGAGCGCTGGTCAGGCGGCACCTCAGTAAAACAGCTTGAAGTTAAGAACGGAGTCATTGGTTCAAACAAACCAAGAGGCCAAATAAAGCTAGTGGGGGCCCTTTGTTCATTTTTTTAAATTTCCGTCACAACACCAACATCCATGGCATGATTTTCTAGCTATTCAGTGGTGCACAACAGATTAGTTGCAATGTTCTCACAATTCTATCGGAATCTCTTACGGGCATGTGGTTTTCCTCGCACAATTAGACAGCTGGCATCATTAATAATATTATTGTAAATATTATATTATTCATTTAGTGCTACCACAACATGTGTTTGTGTTCCTCAACTGTCCACAAAATAAACCTTTCTCCTCAAGCCATGCAGCATGAACCATATCTTTGTATCTCTTAAAGTAGCGAACAATGCTATCTTTCGTAAGTTCTGACTGTTCACGGTGCAATAAATGAGGCGTCACTTGACCATAAACTTACATATCCCAGTATCATCAAGAAAATTCCACCGGTGGCAACACTAACGCAAATCATGATTGAAGGTATCTTCGACATAAACGTGTCTTGTGCCACATAGATGGGCAGACCATTTTCATCATACAGTCCTGAAATGCAAAGTAGAATGAAAAGTCATCAGATGAAAAAGATAGTTTGTGGGATTTGATTGTATAGTGTGAAAGGCTTTGTCAGTAGACCACATGCAAATATAGGTAGACCTAACTCAACAATGATATTCGGCTGTGAAAATTACCAGGCAGTCCCATTTTTCAAATAATTTGATTTTTAGTAATAAAATGAATTTGTTCAGAAGGCTTACTGATTAGCGGATTGTGCCTAGGTCGGCATAATACAACTGGCAGAGGAATATGCACCCCGATCAAAGGGTTTTCACCTTTTTGTCATGGTCGGGCTTCAAAGCTGCAAATGTCCTGCAGAGTCCATCTACTGGAACTGCAAGGCGTAACTGTGCCTGAAAGACTAACGGAAAGCTAAAAGCACTTGTGATGAGAAGCTGTCATGGGGCGAATTCATAATGTGTCCGGTAATAGGGGGGTGTTGAGATAGCACGGATCAACATGTGCATCTTCATATTTATCAGAGCAGCAACACTGCTTCCTGCAGGGAAAGGACTAGTTGAGAATGATCGGTCCTACATTCACACACTAGCGATGGTCAACCAATCGACTAGTACGGTCGAACTATCTCTAAAAACCAACAGTCTAGTTTGGTTGAAAGCACACTTGATAAGTGACAGCGCTAGGGGAAAAACAGTAAAGCTGTAATCCCTTCGTCATCGGAATGAACAGCCGCCTTACCAACTGGTTAGATTTCGTAGTAATTGGCTTTCGTGTGCTTGGAACGGTAGTCACAATACAGCTCGGATGGCTAATTCAAAGGACCAGGAACCGTGGAAGTGTACTGAAGAACTAAAAGTTGCCTCACTTAATAGCCACAGACAAAGAGGGATGAAGAATAGCCAACTTCATTTGGGAACCTGAAACGCTGATGGTAAGGATGGAAGCGGCGGGTGGAACTATCGTACTGTCGTTGTAGCCAACTACCTAAACCGCTATCGCGTCGACATAACTCCTGTAAGCAAAGCTCTGTAGTCTGATCAAGAATGATCATGGGAAGCCGGTTGCATATTCCACTGGTCTGATGGTCGATGGGAAGGTATGAGTGAAAGGATATTAGATGAAATGAAATGGACCGGTGCGAGGATAATGACCGTCTGGCCTTAACTGTTCGATGGAATTCTCGTCATCTTTGTCAGTTTCACGCTATCTTACCCGGAAGCCATCTGTCACATGTCGTCATCTGTATTCGCTCAGCTAGCTGTCTTCTCCTCATGGGTGATCCCAAAGCCATGACAAACGGATGCAGAAATACAAAACCGGACTGCCTTGAGTTGGAGACATGCATGTATGTATTAACCAGTTGTGAGACGCTCAGATCGTAACCGCTATTACATGGTTCAATCCTGGGAAAGTGTCCTTCGTGATTTGGGTGCATTCAAGAGGTGGACGTGGTCCCACTCGAGTTTGCATATTAAAGGTGATGCGCAGTGCTGACCAAAATCTAGGCCATGCACGGGTCTGAACGAAGTTTGGGTTTAGTCGGTGAACGTCGTCCTTGAAACCCTTAGCTGTTATCTGCACATTCAACTACTGAAGTCATACGTGCATACAAGAGAGTTTTCTTCACCGCTATTTTCGTCTCAATTCGAATACGACGCTAAAAATACAGTCGTTTTCGCACCCACCATTTGCCTGCTTAGTGACGCTCGGTGTCGATCACGTGGCTTGTGCGTGTGTAAACTTAATAAGTTCAAGACTTCAATTGTTCGGTCAACCTTGCACCCAGACGGCGTAGAACAGAGGTTTATTGTGACCCTACTTTGTAGGTGTCTTAGGTCAATGGATGTCATCGGCAGCAGCGCTCAAGGTGGGACTCAACTCGACATCGGCGGAGAGGCACCTCCTGATAAAAGTAATCAAATGCCCTGTTAATTAAATCTTCATTGTTGACTTAAATCAGGAATTGTGATAACCCAGTCTCTTAAAAACGATCTATTCAGACAATTTAGATGACAAAACCAAACCATGGTTATAGAGCGGAAGTGCACTCATTAGTTTATTTATCCCACAACCGAACGTAAGCTCTTCCGGGATACATGTGTGAAATAGATTCACCCTCAGTTCTGTTTCATCTAGCTATACTTTTTCCGAAAAACCAGAGAGCCTCAATCAGTGTCGAACACCTCCCTTGACTTTTGTGAACCCCCAAGACTTGCGCCCGGTGGGTGAGATATGCTTCAAAACACCGCTCTGTCATTTGTTTCTAGCAATTACACGGACTTCCTACATTGTGGCAAATCAAGCATGACAAAATACAGCAACGTACTATCAGAAGAATCCATTTTCTAGCATTTACTTAAGAGTTATTCCAAGAGTTATTCCATCAGGCACTTCATGCTTTCTGCTCTTAGTTGCAGCGGAAAGTATTTCAAAGTAAGGATCTGTGGAATCGGTGTTTGGCAGAGTTGCTCTACCATAGGTGTTCGAGTACTCTGCTTAAAATCCGACCTAATCAACCACTTCTTTGAAGAAATAACGGAATCTTTTGTGATCAAGGAATCTGAAATATTGCAAACTGAAGACAGCCCTCCTCCTACAGGAGACGGAATGTCCTCTTTTGTGCTAGCTGGTAGTGGGCACTGTGTGAGCTTTTTGCATACGGACTATACTGTTTTTTCATTAGCCTGGCACGGTCAAATGCAAGTCACTCACAAGATGACTTCCAATCATTTTGGGCAGCACAATTTGCGGTGTTACCGGTACCACCTCACCTGATCAACGGTAAAGTGCATCAAATGCATCACTATCGAGCAAGTTCAGTACGGTATTGCAGTCGAATTCTACTGAAGAGACCGACTTTAGAATATCTTTTTCCGGTTAGCAGTTGTGTGTGGAAGATTCTAGTTTCATTGTACTGACAGAGGTATACCCTTACTTCTTGGATGGGGTAGGTGAGAGAAATCTCCTTGTCAAGTGTCTTCAATCCATGTCCCTGATGGGCACTGTTCACAGTATACGAAATGGGCTCACTGTCCTCAGAGCATTTGTGTCAAACTTCAGACTCTCCAAACTCTCTATTGGCTTCTTGGTGCCTCTTTCTCATAACCGTGCCTGAACGGATGGTCTCAAAAAGTCTGCTCACTTGACAGCAGTTGATTCGAATCATTAGTGTGTCTTGTAATCGTTGCTTAATTTTTACTTTTTCCGTGTAGAAGTCAGGTTTATGTGAAGCTTTTTTGTCAAATTTTTTGCTTGCTGAAGAAGCCGGACTCTTTTGTCAGGCAGCTGTAAGGTTGCAAAGAAAAATCTACCAGCTGACCACACAAGTATCTTTAGACGACCTAAGTGGGCTGTTTATTGTTTCTTTTACATATCTTATATTTGGGCCGAGTTTTGCTGTTTTCCGTGGCAGTACATGAAGATTTGTTAGGCTTTTGGCATGGGCGCTTGTGGGTGAGACAATGCGTGCCAGACAATGCACAGTCAGTACATCTGAGATCTCAATTCTGAACTAAAAACTGGGACCAGATAGCGACAAACCTTTCGAGGACCTCAGACTGTTGATACAATTAACAGATTGTTAGTAGCGGCCATCATTAGTGCATCCTCAGATGGAAGCGTCAATTAGAGGCAATACCCAAAATTTCCATTGGATCATAACAAACTGGCACAGTAGCAGCATCTTCTTGAGTCGATATGATAAGGGATTTTAGCACTATTTTCCCGTCTTCCGCATTCTGTAACAGGTTCAGGAATCCGAAGGAATTCACTACACCTCACTGAATAACTTCTGGTAATAAAACGTCTACCTAGTTCCTTAACTAGCTTTCAAAAGTCAGTCATCGCATCTTTATCAACAGGATGCTTAACGGGGAAGTAAATTCGAAGACGACTGGGCACTATTTGAAACGATTAACTGCAGAAGACATCTTCAGGGCACGTGGCGCTTGCAGACAAAAAGACGAGTAATGCAGCAAATACTGATGGTGCTTATCTTGAGCGGAATTCATCAGCCGCAGTAAATAGCCCTCTATCAGTAATGTGAACAGCAGGATCCATGGAAGTAACAACCAATGATCAGCTCAAAGAGCAGTCTCGCTTTCGGCAGCTGTACATGGATCAATCGGATAGAAGCAAGTGACCTAAAGTTCTTATTGGGTTTTCAGTGTTATATTTATCCCGGCCACCCCAAACATTCACCCTTGAATTTCCAAATGGTGCTAAGGAAGCGATATCACCCCTCTGGATATCATCAAACCCGTGCCCATCATGGAGTAGATGCATATTTGGGCGCTGAAATTCTCCCCACTTCTTGATAAAATGACATCTAAACAGCCAGGTTCGACGTAGCGAATCGGTAACGGATTAGTTACAGTGAGAATACTTACTCACTGAAAAACAATCAACAGTAAACAGAGTGTAGAGTACGTTCACATAAACTGCCTGGTTTTCACTCTTGAAATCGACCTAACTTCTGTTGAACCTCAGAATAACAGATTCACTTTCACACAGTAATAACTATTGTGAGACCGTAAGAGCGATGATACGATATCTTTAACCGAGAACTCAAACAGTTTGATAGAGTAATACATGCGATGTGAAAGATATATTTAGGCCCATCTCAGTGGTCTTCTTCCCGTTACAGAAATCTCGGTTTTGCAGTAGGCCATTCATTCTTATTATTGCAACAGATAATAATGATGGGTGTCTGACGCGCCTAGTCATATAGCGACTTACGCCTGTCGAAGTCCCCAGATTGGAGTTTGTTCCTACATATCGATTAACATCTTACCCTTCAGGATTACCTCAACCAACTTGATTGCCAGTCCCTCCACTAAACCAAATCAGTCTCTCCCTCAGAAAACACACGTCCTCGCTTTTAGCGTTCCATGGCGCACAATCGATAGGCGATTTACGCATTTTGAACAAACAGGCTTTTTCTCCCCATTATGTGATGTGAGAGCACGTCATTCGATAAAAAACAAGCTGTCCTGTCCACACTTTGATGTTAGTGACAACGGAAATTG